GGGTGTCAGGCTTCGAGTGGTTGGCAAACGTTTGCGGGTTCACGGAGAGTGTCAGTGTGACAGCACTGGTTTGTGATGGGTTATCTTCGGTTTTCTCCCTTGTTGTGTCCTTATTTAGGACGAGATGACCTTAAGCTTTAAGAGAAAAAAAACCCTAGAAAAAAAGCCAAAAAATAAAAAAATAAAAAGTCAGCAAAAACAACAACAAACAACAACAACAACAACAACAAGACACACACAAAAAGGACATCCCATGTACACCATGGTGACCGGCGTCTGTGATGTAGTCTCTCTCTCTCTCTCTCTCTCTCTCTCTCTCTCTCTCTCTCTCTCTGTATCTCCCCTCTCTCTTTCTTTCCCCCTCTCTCTCTCTGTATCTCCCCTCTCTCTTTCTTTCCCCCCCTCTCTCTGTCTGTCTCTCTCTGTCTCTCTGTGCGTCTCTATCTCTTTCGCTCTCTATCTCTCCGCCCCCTTCCCCTTCACGTTTTTCTGTCCTTCTCTCCCCTGTGTATACTGTGTTATCAGTTTTCACACCGAACTATTTTGCCACACTCCAGCTAACAGACAACGCTACGACGTTGCGTGCAGAAGAAGCAAGTTCGATTCAGGAGTGGTGGAGTTGTTGATTTTTAGTTGCTATTTTGTAGCTGTTTGGGGTATTTTTTACAAATCCAATATCTCCACCTGTTTCTTTTTTTATTTTTTTTTATTGGGGGGGGTAAGTATTTCACGGTGTTCGCAACGGCATAAGGTCATAATATGAGCACGCAAGACTCATTAAATATTTTCACTTGGTTGGAAATTTTGATTTTTGCCCTTGTGGTAGCAGAAGCTTACTCTTATCGATTTTATACCACCAATGGATCTTTAACGTGCGCAACTTGCACACGGGTCCTCCGAGATTGTTCGCCCTTGTCCGAGAAGGCTAGGTGCAGATCTTTCGTACCAAAAGATCAGGGGTGTGGCTGAAAGACAGCAGTAAGAAGAAACCTAGGAGTAGCAGTAGAAAGACTGCAGAAAGAGTCAGGAGCCCAGATGAGGTGGCAAAGGAGGTGAGGGGGTGGGGGCAGAAAGTGGAGACGAAAGAAGACGACAGAACATTGTTAGAGAGCAGGAAAAAAGGTGAAAGGCGAATATTTTAGAGAATACATTTTTTCTGTCGCTACCCGGATTCGAACCCGAGACTTTTGAATGAGAGGCGAACAACTTAACCTCTAGGCCACGAGATCCCCCTCTCCATCTGTGTGCATAGAATGACACAATCATGCGAACCCGTGTTTCTGTTTTATGCATGATGCCTCGAAATGAGATGCACCTCAACATTTCATTGGGTCTGCTGCTGATCGCTTGTATGAGTCTGCTGTGTCCTTGACAAATTGTGTTACGACGCCGTGGAATTATTAGGCGCTCATCAATTTTGGGGCATATAGAGTTATTTATATTATCTGACATCTTGTTCATTTGTCTTGCCTTTGGAGAAAAAAAAATCCCATTTACCTTGAAGAGAAGTCGAGATATTTGCGATTGAAAGAAGCGGTTTCAGAGATAAAATTAGCAGTTAAATCGCCTCTAAATTTGTTGACTTTCAAAGACTGAAAGCCCTTGAAAACCGAACATTTATTTTTTATGTGCCTTTAAACATTTTTCAGTAAATTCCACACAGAAATGTGCTATTAAATGGACATACAAGCCAAAAAACAAAATTTCGATAACAATTGAAAAACTGACAGAAAAATCCCGGTTCTTAAAATGTTATTAATTTGACAAGCGCATGATTTCACCTCGTTTAATCACAATAAGATACAGTCGAACCTGCTCTAACAGCCACATTTGCGTTTTAAAAAATCCAAAACATTTTAGTGACACTGTGCCACCTGTCTAAGACAGCTCCTTTTCTCCTCCATAATGGGTGTTCGTCTGAGACAATGTAAACTGTTTTTTTTCTTCCACTGCCGGTTTTGCTGTCCTTATTTTAGGAGATGTTGTAGGAGAAGGTTGGGCCATGAAAGATTGTAATACAACACGGGATATGTTCTTGATGCTTTAGGTAAGTTAGAGGAGTGTGCGAGTGTGTGTGTGTGTGTGTGTGTGTGTGTGTGTGTGTGTGTGTGTGTGTGTGTGTGTGTGTGTGTGTGCGTGTGTCCTAGATTAAGTGTGTCGATTAGGGCTTAACACCCCTACAAGAGAGAGAGAGAGAGAGAGAGAGAGAGAGAGAGAGAGAGAGAGAGAGAGAATATAACAGAGTGAGAAAAGGATTGTAGAGGGACGGGGGGCACACAGACAGACACTGTATCCATTCTTCTGGGCAACCTGAGTCGGTCACGTGACATGCACTAACTTAACAATGTGGTGTCCACTTTCCCCCGGAACAATGAACCAGAGGACAGCCGGGACAAGATACACGTCTCTCTCTCTCTCTCTCTCTCTCTCTCTCTCTCTCTCTCTCTCTCTCTCTCTCTCTCCCTCTCTCTGTCTATCTGTCTTTCCCTCTCCTGTTCCTCTGCACAGTGTTTTTTTTTCCTTTAGTCGGTGCCTGCCAATAACTTCAACAGATGCCATTCTCTGCACTGTTTCTTAATAGCAAACTGCAGTTTTCTAAATGCCTCAAGGAGATAGTGAGGCTAGACTGAAATTCTTTTTCATCTGTAAGTATTTTGTTAAGTCACGGATTTAATAAATGAACTTGATGTTGAATTCGCGTTAGGCTGTGTGTGTGTGTGTGTGTGTGTGTGTGTGT